AATAGAATAGAATAGAATAGAATAGAATAGAATAGAATAGAATAGAAAATAGAAAATAGAATAGATTTCTTTATTGGCCAAGTGTGATTGGACACACAATGAATTTGTCCTGATGCAAATGCCCTGGTCCAGTCTGGCCTTCAGAAGTTGTGAGTTCTCTAACACTGGAGGCTTTTTTAAGAAGAGACTAGACAACCGTTTCTCTGAAAAGGTCTCAGTTTGCCTTCTTGAGCTGGGGGATGGACTGTAAGACCTCTGGGGGCCCCTTCCCACTCTTGTTCTTCTTCTCTTCTCCTGTAAGCCAGAGGAGAGGAATCAAAGCCCCCTCCGGCCCCTCATTGGACCTATCACCCGCTTTGTTCTGGCAGGAGCTCACTCACCTGGCTTGCTGTCCGAGCGTGCCCTGCCGTACCCCGCCTGCCCCCCGTAGCAGGGGACGCAGTTCCTCCAGAGGTACCGATAGTGCAGCGCAGAAGCCGGGGGTCCCCCAATCCAGACCACCGCCAGGCACCAAAACACCAACGCGCAAAGCCGCCTCTCCGTTCCTCCTCGCATCTTGCAAAAACAAAGCATGTGTTATCCTTGCAGCTTCGCAAAAAAACTCTTCAAAGAGCGAGCGAGGTTCATCCTCTCCCCTTCACTGCATGCCTCCTCACTCCCCCCACCCCCCCCACCCCCCAAAAAACCCACCCACCCATGTCAAATTTCCTAGGTTTGCAAATTTTGGACGTAACTCGGGCTGCTTTGGCAGGTAAAATAAAATTTTAAAATTTTTTAAACTCTTCTCTCTCTCCCCCACATGCGAGCCTCCCCTCCTCATCCTCTCCCCACCTCGCACATATTTTTGGTTGCGTGCACCGCACACTCACACACACACACACATACACACACACACACACAAAACACAGGACAACCCCATCCGTGCGCCAAGCGCAGGAATTTTTGTTGGCTGATGGGACCCGATGGAGGGGGGGGGGGTTTACGCATTCCTGGCCAGTGTCCAACCTGGATTCTTGCAACTTGGCTGGGTCAACAATCAAAGGGGGATGGAAACAGGGCTGTGGGGAAGAGGGGTGAGAGAGAGGAGGGGGCTTAAATTAAATCCACATTTTGGAAAGTCCTGAATGGCACAACCGGCGTATTTTCACACTTAACGACCGTCATAGCAGCGTTTCCCCCACCACCACCACCACCATCACGGGATCAAAATTCTTGCAACTTGGCTGGGTCAACGATCAAAGCGGGATGGGAACAAGGGTTGCGGTGGGGGGTGAGTAGGGGGTGAGTAGAGCGTGGGAGTGGGGGAGAGGAGGGGGGTTAAATTAAATCCACATTTTGGAAAGTCCAACCACAGCAAACGGCGGAAAGAAAACATCCCCAAATATTATAAATCCAGAAGATGGTCGGTGTTGTTAATTTTACCAAGCCATAGGATCTCCTGGTTTCTGGGGAGAAAGGCAGGCAGTCTTCAACTGTATTTATGGCATTTCTCTATCAATGCTATTTATTTATAAATATCTATGTCTATGTTATCTATGTATTTACCTGTTTATATTGCATTTAACTATAACCGTTATCTGTTTATTGTATTTATTCTTTTATCTATTGTATTTATCTCTACCTATTTCCTATCTCCCTTATCTATCTTCCATTCTATGTCTATTATCTATCTATCTCCATCTTTTCAATCTCTCTATCCATCTGTTTCTACCTCTACCTACCTACCTCTGTTCATCCATCCATCCACCCACCCATCATCTATCTATATCTAATCTCTATTGTGTTTATTGCTTTCTATATCCATCCATCAATCCATCCGCTTCAATCTCTTTATAGCCCTGTTTCTATCTCTACCTCCCGTCTGTCTATTTATCTATCTCTATTGTGTTTACATCTATCTATCTATCTATCTATCTATCTATCTATCTATCTATCTATCTATCTAT